GGCACGTGGAGGTTCTGTACTGACTACCGAGCTCTGAACGCTGCAACTATCAAGGACCGATTTCCTATCCCTAGCATTGACGACATGCTCGATGAGTTAGCAGGGTCACGCTATTTCTCAAAGCTCGACCTGAGAGCTGGTTACCATCAGATTCGACTCCATCAAGCCGACATTCCAAAGACAGCATTTCGTACGCACCAGGGGCACTATGAGTATCTAGTCATGCCATTCGGATTATGCAACGCCCCATCCACTTTCCAGTTCGCTATGAATTCTATCTTCAAGGAGTATCTGCGTAAGTTTGTTCTGGTATTCTTTGATGATATCTTGATCTATTAGAAGTCATGTGGCGAACATCTTGGGCATTTGAGAGTAGTGCTCGAAATTTTGGAGGCCAACTCATTCCACATCAAGCCATCCAAATGTTCATTCGGGCAGATGATGGTTGAGTATCTAGGGCACTTCATATCGCACGAGGTCGTGAAGGTTGATCCACGAAAGATTGAGGCTATGATCGATTGGCAAAAACCTACAAGTCTCACACAGCTGAGGGGATTTCTAGGACTCACGGGCTACTACAGAAAGTTCGTGAAGGATTATGGAACCATCGCCAAGCCATTGACAGAGATGACTAAGAAAGGTGGGTTCACGTGGAACGAAGCTAGCGAGAAGGCGTTTGGGAAACTAAAAGAAGCCATGACTACAACGCCAGTGCTCGCCATGCCCAGGTTCGATGTCTTGTTCGAGGTACACACTGATGCAAGTGACATTGGGATTGGAGTTGCATTAGTGCAAGAGGGACGACCCTTAGCTTATCTCAGCAAGGCCCTAGGCACTACACGATTGGGTCTATCGGTGTACGTAAAGGAGATGCTAGCCGTTGTCGAGGCTGTAAGGTGCTGGAGGCCTTGTCTATTAGGCCGACGTTTTCAGATTGTTACCGACCAGCAACCGCTTAAGCATCTACTGGAGCAAAGGATTGTGACCCCCGAGCAGCAGAAGTTCGTGCCTAAACTTATGGGGTTTGACTTCGAGATAATCTATCGACCGGGTCGACAGAATGCAGTAGCTGACGCACTATCCCGACGAACAGATGTAGCCGAGCGGAATGCTATCACTGGGCCAACTTGGACAATTTGGGAAGAAATCAGGAAGGCGTAAGTGGAGAACACCTATTGCCAGGAGTTGCGCCAATCAATAGAAGCAGGTAAGACAACTGCTATCGACTACGAGTTGCATAATGGTCTGCTTCTACACCGAGGTCGAGTCGACGTTCCCGACAGTGGGCAGTTACATGAGCAGATCATGCAGCACTTGCATGACTCTAAAATTGGAGGCCATTCGGGTATCTACCGCACATGGATGAGAATAGCCAACACTTTCTTCTGGCCCGGGCAACAGAATACCGTCCGAGATTACATAGCACGG